CTTGAATTGTATTTCCACTTCAACTCACTTTTCACTTGGAAGCTTTGCACTAAGAAGAATACACAGATGCTGTGAAGAATGATCCCGCCAATCTGACATGAGTCCAACAGCTGCAGGCTACCCCCGGGTGAAGGAGAGACGCTGTTGCAAATATGAGCAAAATCTTTCTTGCCTTTCTTCACATGCCTGAAATTTTAAAACCCACTCAGTGTAAGAGTTCAAGGTCTGAAACAGCCAAGAAAATTTTCAAAGCAGTGGTGGACATCTGGACTTATGATTCACTGTGACAAAAGACCTACAGAACCAATGAAGCTTTATCTAAACTGGGGGGGAAAAACACTACGCTGTTCCCATAGTTATAGCTTTGTTTTCTTCTTCTGGCTAAGATTAAAAAGGGCATCCTTGAGGGCATGTCCAGACAGCTGACATAGATGCATTCCAAGTCCATTAAGGACTCCTGGTCTGAATTCATTAGTTACATTAAGGAAGCATCATAACATTCAGGATCCACTCTGACGAAGTATTGACTTCATACTAGATTTAGAAATGTATAGAAAGGACACATGGGAGCTTCTGAGACGTCAGAGGACATACAGGAGAGGAAAGAAGAAAGCAATCTAGAAGACATTTTTGCCTGCCTGCGGATTGCAGGGAGTCCTTCAGGCCTGCTCACTGGAGGAAAATTAATACCAACTAGTCCAAAACTAGGAATAAAAAGAACTTGAAGCCTTTGCTTTGAAAGGGCAGCTCCCACATTTTCTGTCACCATTTGCCTACTGTCCTGGAGTATTCCTGAACATGTCTGACTCATTCACTCAGTATGCATTCAATAAGGACCCGGGACATCGTGCTGTATATTTGAGGAGAGTCTTATGCACTCCGTGCTGTTGCAGGATATGCAAGGCAGTGCGGTCTACACAAAATGTGATCCTGCACTCCAGACTTCTGGTGGAGGAAGAGTCCTCTGATAGAACAATTTGGGAAATGCTCTATGTACTTTCCACCTGCTTGTAGATTTACAATGCACATTGATCAAGTCATGCGCCAAGGGAGGGAATTGCACTCTGCAGTGAGGGCCTCTGTCTGCTCTGCTTTCAGCTTCGGCAAATCTGTAGGGCTTCCGTAGGCTTCTCCCCTCTCCAGCTCTAGCTTCATAGCATTACTTCAGTCATCTTGACAGCTGCCTTTCCACACAGTCTCTCACTGTGGGGACCAGCAGCAGATGTTTCCAGCTGCCCACCCAGATCTATTTCTTCTTGGTTCCTTCCTGGTTTCCCGATTGATTCAAGTGTCTTTCTTCCACCATGTACCTGTAGAGTGTAGTCTTCCTTGCCAGTCACCTGGGCCCTGCCTTGTTGTTTGAACCCCCAAATAACACACAGGACACTATAGTAATTATAAAGCTGTTGGCCATTTGCTTGGCTTCTTACTGGCTATCTCTGACTTAAGTATTTAACCCATAATTGTTAATCTAAGTATTTCTCTTACCGGAGAAAAGGATCCAGACCTCTTCCTCTGGCGGTCTACATGGTGTCTCTCTGTGTCTCTCTTTGCCAGAATCCTCCTCGACTCCTAGTCTCACCTATCTTGATTCCCTACTGGCCAACAGTGCTTTATTCTACAACCAATAAGAGACAGATTTACAGAATAACATCTCCCATCATGTTCTACATGCTCCTAAGGGGCCACAATAACCTGCAATAACTTGATGGTGACATCTTCCTGCCTGTCTGTGTTTTACTGGGACCAGCGTGTAGATTTCACTTGAAGTTCTTCCACCAGGTTGCAGGACACTGAGTAGACAGTCTGTCACATCTGTGACATCTGCTTACCAATAGACATGAAGGACATGAAAGAAAAAGGGAGTTGAACCCACTGGATCAAACCCATCTTTAAACCTAGGCTTCTTCTGAACTCCCTGACATCTGAAGCAAGAAATTTTTTAGTGACAATTTCATTGAGGTTCTTTTAGCTTGTCACCGAAGTCATCCAGTGGTTACAGCCAATTAAACACAAAGACCCATCCCTGCCTAGGAACCCTCTAAAGTCTTATTGGACTCTGTCTCCAGGAAGTGCTTGCTACACTTTGCCCGGCTTCCCTGAAAAGCATTTACAGTGGATCTGACTTTTAATCTCCATTCAGCCTCTGCACACAGGTTTGCCTTCCCATTTGAGTCACACTGCTTCCGTGACTGCCAGAGCCCACGGCTGGTGGCTAGAGTCATCATCATCTACTTGCTTGAAGGGACCCTCACTGCCTCTTTAGTGTTATCCTTCCTCCCAGGCCACTCTGGACCATTCTCAACATGGCGCCCCGGCTTGCCAGTGTCTGCCAGGTTCTTCCAAGCCTCTTAGCTGGAACTGGTTTTCAAAGGTCCTTTGTGGAGGGTTAAGTGGCCTGTGATGTTTTTTTGCGCTGGAACTCCACAGCCTATGCAGAGGTCCTGTTTCTCTTGGCTCAAACCATGGTTATCTCACACTTTGTGTCCTCCTGGAGTCAGCTTGGCTTCCAGCCTTAGCATCTCCTGGAGCACAAGCCAGATGATGAAGAAGAGGGCAGAGAAGGAGAATTATAAGGATGCAGAGTAAATGGGAAGTGTGATAAAGATACTGAACTGTTTCAGGTGGACTGTCACAGTACTGAACCAAGACATACACAAATGACAGCAACCATTTATTTTCTAGCTTCCTCAACCACACCCACGCATCTGTGGTTCCTCCTCTTCTGACCTGATTTGCACCCAAATAGCCAGACAGGCAGCAACAAAGAATGAGGCAGAAAATGGCCATGGTTCAAAGGCAATAATACAGTTCTGATTGCTTATAATCTACAAGTAACAGAAACGTGACTTAAGCATGAACTCAATTCATACATGTGAAATACCTCTTTCGAGTTCCATAACACAACTTTACCTCCCAAGGTTGTTAATCAACAGTGCTCAGTTTATGTTCTGTGCTGTAAGTGCCCCTCCCTCCCCTTTCTTAGGAACTGTTTTACCCAGGGACTGAATGATGGAATGCAGACTTCATGGAACGTAGTACATGGAATTTCTGATTGTTAGCCTCATTCAGACTTGAATTTAAAGACTTTATACAATGCTGGGAGTGGAGGGTGGTTGCCAAACACCCTAGCCCTTCTTTTTCTTTAAAAAAAATAAAAACCAAAAACTTACTGATGGAATTCCTAGTTTAGTCTAGAATGCAGAGCTATTTAATATGGAATTTGACAGCTTCTTCCTTTAAACACCCCCTCATATTTATAACTCGCCCCACAACTCCTTTGTAAGAGCAAATCTACACACACACCCTTCTTCCTGGCTCATTACTCCAATTGTCACTGAACACTTTGAAACCAAAATATTACCTAATTTCCTTACTCACTAAAGACAAATTAATCTGATGTCTTGGATACCTGGCCATCCCACATCTTTATGAAACTGAAAACAAAATCCATGTGAGAGATCCAATGACTGGATTTACTTTTCAAAGTTCATTGTAATAGACCACAGCATCAGCTACACAGGCATAGAAGGCTGGGCTGGGGTGGCTCATTGGTTACCCTTGATGATGTGAGTTCAGTCTCTGGAACAAAGGTGGAAGGAAAGAACCAACTCTGAAAACTGCCGTCTGACCTTCACATATATGCTGTCAAATGTACACACACCACACACACACACACACACACACACACACACACACACACACACGAGATTTTCATTATATAGACACCAGAAACAAAATCAGAAAAAAGTTACAGTCTACTAGTGATTATAATTTTACTAGACAATATACCAATTGCATAGTCAAAAGATATTCTGGGGTGGAGGGAGAAACTCTAGGAAATAAAAGACACCAAAGATGCTTTAAATGTCCCAAAGGAAGCCATAAATAATTAATACCAAAGAAGCAGGAGCTATGAAGGCACAAATAGTTCAAGGCTCTGAGTGAAAAAGAGGGTGAATCCATATTAGACCTCAAAACTGATGCTTCCAGATCTCTGAGATTGGGACAGCTAGGGAGATAATATACCTGCCCACTCCTTGATTTATGGAGAACTGAAAAGTCTTACTTAAGATAAGACACTCCCAGAGTGTCAAGGTAAAGAGACAAACACAACCCGTGTCTGAGAGGAGCCTATAGCCAGCATCAGATTGAACTCAGTGGAACAACAAATCAAAACAGAGAAGACAAACTCAGAGATGAAGAAGTCAAAAACATATCCAGCAGATCACTTCCCAATGAGTTCAGCATTCACACCATGAACCCTACAGAAATAGCTTTCTCTTGAATCAGTCTTAGCTTCCTATAGGTTAGGGGTCAGAGAACTTCTCCTGTGTAGGAGTCTTCCCAAAGACCAAACTCTCTTCTGCACCAAATCACCCAGTACTGAAAGCAGATACTGCCATGCAGAAACAAATGGGGTAACTGTACTCAAATAAAATTTTATTAACAAAAACTAGGTGGTGGAATGGATTGGGCCTATAAGCAAACCTAAGTCACAGATGAGCCCAAACAAGGACAGAGTCACTACTAAGTTCTAACAAAGCAGCCCATTCTAAAGGCCCAAGCTTAGTTAGAGGGGAGAAGCTTCTTTCTAACACACATAGAAGTTTCTTTCTAACACACTTCTGCTCAGAAATGGGAAGGGAAGAAATCAGGATCCTAGAAACATCAAAGAAATGTTCACTTGACCTTCTGAAACTGTGCTATAAAAGTGAAACAAGGGACAACGAGACCCATCACTTCATTTCATACCAGAGCTGTTCTGCTGGACTTGATGTTCAGAGAAGAGTAGGTGATTTGGCTGGGGAAAAGAATCCTAGTGACTTCCTGGTGAGTTTTGGTGGCTGCTGTTGAGGGTAGACATGATACAGGGACATCCATCACCCTTGGTCAGGGGAGGTACCGACCTTCTCACTGTACTCTTTGTATTTAGCCTCCCCGAGGAGTTTATCCCCTCACCCTCTCCCCCAAGGAAAAACAAACAAGAAAAACTAAGCCACTTTGCCATAAAACTTTATTCTTTCAGATAGCAGATGCCACCCATGGCGCCTGGAAACACAACTTTAGTGACATTGGCAAATGTGCTTCATCAGAGGCTTCCATGTCGTCAAGAGACACACAGCATGCATGACATTATCTAACTCAAAGTTTTATACCCCAGCCCCAACCACCTCATAATTGGCAAACAGATTCATAGAATTTCAACTGGAAATTTCCCTATTACAGCTGCCTTTTTCATTGGCTAGGTGGTTAGTGGGTGCTATTGTTTGGATCTTGACTGTTACAAGGTTAAATTTCTGGTCCTCAGCCAGTTGGTGCCATTAAGGAGGTGGTTGAGACTTTTGGAAGTGGGGACTAATGGGGAGATTTAGGACATTGGGAACATGACTTTGAAGGGTACTGTTGAAACCTACATGCACGCTCACTTTCTCTCCCACCCCATTTCTCTCTCTCTTTCCTTCCTTCACCTTTTTAAAAAGAAAATTTTATTTGTTTTTGTGCGTATGAATGTTTTACTTACATATATTTCTATGTACCACATGTATGCAGCACTCAGAGAGTCCAGAAGAGGGCACTGGATCCCCTGGACCTGGAGTTATTAGTTATAAGCTGCCATGTCAGTGCTGGGAACCAAGACTGGGTCCTCTAAGGGGATCAGTTAGTGCCCTTCCCTGCTAAGCCATCTCTCCAGCTGGGAACCAAACCTGGGTCCTCTAGGGGATCAGTTAGTTAGTGCCCTTCCCTGCTAAGCCATCTCTCCAGCTGGGAACCAAAGCTGAGTCCTCTAGGGGATTAGTTAGTGCCCTTCCCTGCTAAGCCATCTCTCCAGCCATTTCTCAAGTCTCTGTTATGAGTGAGTGGCTATTCACTCTCTAACAAAAGCCCCTATCTAGTATGCACCTCAATCTCCAGAACTGTGAGCCCAAATAAACCATTTATCTTTATAAAAGAATCATCTCAGGTACTCGTTACCATAATGGGAAGTTAACACAGTGGAGAAACGGCTTTCCCATGGAGAGAAGGATTAAATGTCACAGAGATGCTCTGAGATGATCACAGAAGCCAGAGCGTCTGACCCAGCAACCTCTGGGGGAGTCCTTGAGTCAAAAAGTACTTCTGGTCAGGCTGGGATTTACCAAGCTAATGCAACCATCAACAATACTGATGTTCTTCTTACAGAAGAGACAGAATGCTGTGCCCCTGAACCAGGACACTGGGAGTTAAGTAGTCCTCTTGGTTCCTACCAAGTTCTCATGCTCACTCAATGCTGTGACCTCATGCAGGAGCATTTCAGCAAAGCAAGCCTCTGCCTTCTACTTTGGGGTCCAGTGTATCGTCTTTATTAAGTGCAAGATGGGCCAACGCTCCAAAATTCACCAGTCCGCTGTTTCTGCCTTTTGTTTACAGAGCTTGTCTCTGTCCCTCTTAGGAACAGTAACATCATAGCAAGGGAAGCACGAACAGCCAAGCCAGCAACGGGAGGTAGGGCGTGGGGACACTGCTGCCAGATGTCCTCTGCGCGTGCATGACAGCGAAGACTGCGTTTGTGTGGTTGGTAGGCAGCTCCACATTGCAGATCATTCCTTCGCAGCAAGACCTGCACTCCTGTACAAGGAAGGAAAGAGATAAGAGTGAACAGCGGGAAGGAGAAAGCAGCACCAAAAAAGAAAGACAGAAAGACAGATGTCGGAGCTGACAGTCCAGCCTGTGCATTGCTTGGGCCTGTGGGTACCTTCCCCTGCAGCGGTCTGAGTGAAGAGCATCCTGAGAGGCGTCCGCCTGACTCCTGAAGATTCTGTGTCAAACCCAAGCATAAGGGAGGTGAAGAAGGGAAACTCAATTAGCCTGCCCGAGTTACCAAATCTTGACAGGCTTATTAGAAAACTGTGAAACCAAAGTAAAAGTTGGGAACCTTCTAGACTTGTCATTGGTTTTCTTTCTTAGTATTGCTTAGTAATAGTGGCTTGCTATTGTCTGCAACTTCACCTAAGTTCCATTATTATTGCAGAGACAGTTTGAAAAAAAAATCAGGTTCTGATCGCAAGGGCAATGCTGGGATGAAGTCATGACCTCATGAACCAGTCACTCATACAGACTTCCAGGCCAATGAGGCAGCAGAAGAGCATAAGCTCCCCGCACAGCCATCATTGGCTGTCCAGCCAGCTGCCCATCAGATCCACCTGGGGAAATATCGATTTTCCTTTTTAAATCTTGCCGTGTAGCCCAGGCTGCCTTCACACTCACAAGCCTCCTGCCTCAGCCTCCAGAGTACTGCGACGGCAGGTGTGAGCCGTGCTGCCCAGCCTGGAGTATTTTCTTGATGCCCTAGACCTCTATGTGAGGTTCCATATCAGTCAGGCTAGGATGCTCCCGTCCTTGTCCTTGCTGCGCATATGGCCCTTGTGTGAGCAGAGTCAAGAGCCACTGATGTCGGGGTCACTGACTTAACATGCTACACCACATTGTAAAATCTCATGAAACGTGTATTATTTTTGTTTGTTTTGTTTTTGTTTTTCCAGACAGGGTTTCTCTGTATTGTTCTGGAGCCTGTCCTGGAACTCACTCTGTAGCCCAGGCTGGCCTCGAACTCACGGAGATCCTCCTGCCTCTGCCTCCCGGGTACTGGCATTAAAGGCGTGCACCACCAACACCCGCTGAAACATGTATTTTCAAGTCATTTTTTTCCCTCCAAAATTTTAGGATCTCTGCATGTAAGGGTACATTCTTGTTTGAGATGGTAGAATGAGGGCATTAAAGGGTCAATCGATGCAATATGTGTTTAGAATTTATCTTATTCTCTTTGGCTCTTTCTCCTCTGAGCAGAGATGGAGGATGAGACAAAGTTTCAATGGCAAAAGTCATCCCTGTTTTTTCCTTTCTCCCATCAAGTTACCTTGGGTAGGGGGTGTTGGTTTTTAGCCAGGAAAAGATCATGTCATCAAGACTCCAGTGCGCCTTACTTTCAAGGATGAGGTGTTTTTGACCTTCTAGAGCAGGTTTCAGACTACTCATGTAAGTTCTGAAGCCTAGAGTCCGGCTTTGGAGCCTGGAAATTGGCATTCATTCTTAGTAACATTTCATTTTGAAGACAGAATATCTTCAAATGTCTGCTCTCCTCATTGGCACTGTAATGGCATCTTTTGTCAGAGCACAAACAAATCTAACACATTGCTTCTCCTTCTTGGTTCTCCTGTGATGCATAACTTACCACCATCACCATGAAACCTGGGAAAGTAACCACACACACACATACACACATACACACACACACACACAATCTTTACCGTGTGTTCCGAGTCTCGGCTGTGACGGCAGCCAACAAAATGACATTCGTTTTTAGAGGCACATTTTTTAGTGATGGATGTACTTCTCCCATGGCTGGTGAAGTGATGAACTGTCAAACAATACTGTGTGTCTAGAAAAATTTAACAACAAAAAAAGCAATTTTATTTTCCATACTGCAAAAGAGACCCCTAGACTATCATGCCAAAATTTACTGAAATTCAAGATAATCTTTAGGCTTCTAGGGGATAAATTTAATAGCAGTGGAAGCTAGAGTTTGTAGGTGCTATTTCTGCAAAGACATCAGCTCCTAAGTGCGCATGTGTTTTGGAAATGAATATAAATAGGTATCCAGTTACTTTGGCTTTAGCTGAAACTGAGAAAAATGTGCAGTTTTCATCAGTCTTTGTGCTTGCTCACCAAATACGTACATTTTTATGTCCCTGGTCTGCCCTTTTTTCCTCTGAGGCTCATGATCTAGAACTCTAAACTAAGGCAAAACCTGTGAGCACATAAACAGTTGTGTCTGAAATGCGGAGCCTCACTCAACATTCGTTTCTTACAGGCTAAGTGGCTAATGGGCCTCTAGCTACATATCAGGTCACCTCCTCCCTCATCCTGCTTATTCGTATTCTAAGCTCTTCCTCATCAATGCACTCCACTTTTCCTCTCCCCTTCACTTCCTGTTTCCCATTCATGCCTGCTCTGTATAGTCAGCTCATTCCTATATAGTTAGTCTCACTGCTTTAAACACCCATGTTATGACAGCATTCTTCTAAGAAAGTGGTTCATGTGTTATCATGGGATATTCTGTTTTGGTTCTGTGTTTCCTCTGTTGCTACCAAAGACCATGGAAATGCTTCTTAATTTATTCACCATGAATCCCAATAAAAACTGACTCGGGGATAATGGACCAAATTGAGAAGACAGAGTTCTTAGGACTATCACAAATAAGGCCTATTACATCCTTTGAGATCACTGTATTTTTTTTTTAGCAAAAAACATGTACAGTGGTATTTTGATAACTTTAATAATATTTAAAATGGCAAATATATTCATATTGTAGATTGGTAGTCAGTTATGTTCTAACTGTGTTCATTCATCAATCCTTACCATGAGCCTTTGGAAGGCCATAGACCATATTAACATCCTTTTTTGTTTTGTTATTTTGTTTGTTTGTTTTAGACAATATTTCATTATGTAGTCCTGGCTGGTCTGAAGCTCCCTATTTAGACCAGGCTAACCTAGAACTCACACAGAGATGCTCCTGCCTCGGCCTCCTCAGTGGAGTGCTAAAGGTATGCACCAATATCTTATCTACTGTCATACTGATAGGAAGGTTACAGAGGTGTAAGGTAGGATCAAGCAAGGCAAGTTTCAAGGGTTTGTGATCTTAATCAGTACATTTGACTACCACCAGGGATACTCAACATTAAACTGGACAAAAGTAACTGACTTTTGGAGTCTGAAGGAGAGGAAGCCATGGAATGTTTTGGAGAAGGCATTTAAGTGTATATTGCAAACTCAGAAAAATTGGAAGCCCATGGCTACTTGTGTTTATCCAAGCATTGTATACAACACACACTGGGCAGTATCCTCTAATCAGTCAACACAAAATACCATGTTGTCATGTTCTGCTACAGAGAGATCCTCTTTTAAAAACACTGAGGGGCCACAAGTGCAGCTTTATGGAGATAAAGGAAATTTGAGATGACAAAGAACAATAGCTCCAGGCCCACTTGTCCTGGATGAATGGTTGACCATCACTTCCCTAAACAACAGCAAAGGGAAAAGTAAGAAATGACACCTCAGTTATAATTCCAGATGGCTAATGTCTTTGAGACTTGAATAGCAGATGGTCAAAAATGAGCTCTCATGCTGTGCTGGAATGTGAGATCATTCCACACTTCTAAGAGTTGGCTTCTCAGGTGGGCTTGGCAGAGCCAACCAGGCTGTGGTTGCTATTGCTGACACTGATAGGGGAGGGGAAGCTAAGGTCTCCTGTTTTGTTTATCTGCAGCTCAAGAGACATGTTATTAGGGCTGGAAAGATGGCTCAGCCCTTCTTGCTCTTGGGGGGAACTGGGTTCAGTTCCTGGCTGCCATGCGGGAACTAACAAGCATCTATAACTCCATCTGCAGGGGCTCCAATGCCTTCTTCTGTCCTCCTTGGACACCAGACAGACATACAAGCAAAATACTCATACACATGAAGAAGGCAATCCTTAAGAGATACTTAAATGAACAAAGGAGATGATATTCTAAAACCCAAAGCAGATAAAAGGTTTTGGCTTATAAATAGCAAATTGGAGCATTGTGCACGACAGAGTAAACAGACTTGGAGAGTCAATTCAAAGAATAGCACACTCCATAACTGGAAAGTGTACGAGCAGGCAAACTTGAAAACTACTCTAACCCTTCTGTTTGGTGTTCAGGGGAAACTTAAAGCAACTGTTAAATGGTGTTGACCATCTGGAATAAATTAGGAGAGATAGTTATCTAGCAACCTTAAACTAAAACAATTGCTCCACTCTATCTTCTCCTGAGTGGACTTGAAGTCCATTCCATAAGATGAAACTATTAACCGGGCCCAAACCCCATGGCTAGCTAAGTCCTAAGTCCTAAGAGAGAATCTTCTGCTCTTGTTCTGCTAAATGGACATAGCAATAAGCCATCCTTTAAGTTCTTACCTTCATACCTTTATATCATAGATTAAGGCATCTCTCAACCCTCCTCAAAGAATTTTTTTTTCCTACAGGACATAGTGATTAATACAGAGACCCACAACAGGTCAGTGTGTACAGGATAAGAATGTAGACTGCTCAGTGCTATACGGGACAACTGTATCACAGCTGCTACTCTCAAGGCTCAGGAATCATCAAGGAAAGTAAGGCAAAAAAGATTTTAAGAGCTAGAATGAATGAATGTCTGTAGTGAAACAGTATTTACCACACATGACGGGACCATTGCACACATGAACTCAGAAGACTTGCACATAATCAAGCCAAACACAAACCCAGCACAGGCATGGAAGGGGCTCATGAAATTCTACTCCTGGATGAGAAGTTATTGGTAACTGATGGCTGCTCATTTTCTTTAGGATGTGGTCCATTACCCATCCTCACTAAGTGAACTCACTGGGTTTAAAAAAAAAGAGCCCACAAAATTGGGAAGGAATAGTGGTGTATTTGTAGGGGAAGGGGATGAGGGAGAAACTGGAGGGGAGTGTAAAGAGGGTGCTTTGATTAAAATGAATTTTATGCATGTGAAAAATTCTAAATAGGCCAGGCAGTGGTGGTGCATGCCTTTAAGCCCAGCACTTGGGAGGCAGAGGCAGGTGGATCTCTATGAGTTCAAGGCCACCCTGGTTACACAAAGAAACCCCATCTTGGGGAAAAAAATCTAAATAGAAAAAAAAATCTTTTAAAACAACTAAGAAAAGTTTTTGTGGAAGCATGAAAAAATGCACACAATCATACTTTCACATTTAAGAGCAGTCAAAAAAGATTGTAGAGGCAGAGGCAGAGGCAGAGGCAGGCAGATTTCTGAGTTTAAGGCCAGCCTGGTCTATAGACTCAGTTTCAGGACAGCCAAGCTTAAGCAATAAAGGAATCCAATGAAAACTGAAAACTGATGAAGATAAGATGTAATTGAACAAGCGGGCCATGTTCCAGGGCCAGCAAGCAGCAGAATTTGGCAGCTTTGGTCACATGGTTCTGGCTTCAGAGCTAAGGATAGAAGAAAGGGGTTGTGGAACCTTTCTGCATGATTAAGGAAAGACTCTGAGGCCAGGCATGTGTCAGGGGTGTCTCTACAATGGAGACTTAAGAGGCCATTACATGAAGCTGTGAAGGTGAAGTCTGGGTTGCCTTGGAGACCTCAAGATGTTGGAAATGCCAGAGCCATGTGATACCTGCCAAGGAAAGTTGATAACAGGGAATAGAAACAGACAAAGAGAAAGAAGTGTGTTACAGTCAACAGAGATGAGAGCAGTTGGAGGTCTAAAGAGCATTTTGACATCAGACATGGAGATGCAGACTTTGGAGTTTGCCCAGGTGATTTTCAGATTTGCTTTGGTCTAGTATTTCTACACTACACTCCCTTCCCTGTGTTTTGGACCGGTAATCTATATCCTGTGCCATTTTATCTTGGATGTATGTGATCCTGCAGTTTGATTTTGATTTTACAGGAGATTACAGTTAAGAGGCTACATGAATCTCAGAAGAGATTTGAACTTTAAACTTTTAAATGTGAGACTGTTACAGACTACGGGGGACTTTTGAAGTTGGACTGAGTGCATTTTTGCATTATAATAAGGCTTCAAGCTTTCAGGAGTGGAATGCAGTGGTTTAGAAAGAGAATGGCCACCCAAAGGGAGTGGCACTATTAGGAGGTGTGGCCTTGCTGGAGGAAGTGTGTCACTGTGGGGGTAGGCTTTTAGATTTCCTTTGCTCAAGGTACACTCAACATGGAGCATAACTAAACTATGCTACAGTTAAATGTTTTACTTTGCAAGAGTTGCCATGGTCATGGTGTCTCTTCACAACAATAGAAATGAAACCCTGACTAAGAAAGAAGTCACAGGCATGCACACATAACTTAGCAGTGATTCTTGGTAATCTGACAAGTAGGGTTTTGTTTTGTTTTTGTTTTTTGTTTTTGGACGGGGAGTTCCACGGATTTCTTGTATCTGGATAAAATCCGGCAATTCTACTATTATAAATGATATAGTATAGAAAGATTCATAGTAATAGACCAGCAATTTCTAATTCTGGAAATCTGTTCTACTGTCTTTCTTGGGTCATTGCATCTGAAAATCTAACATCAGAGTAGCCCAGTCTCATTATAGCTCTCTCAGTCCCAAACTCCTATGAGCATATTCTGTCTACTTTGCTTCCAACGCTTGTATGAAAACATTCAGTTTCCTCACGACTCTATTTCTACGTCTGGGAGTTCCAGCCCCCACCTTCCAAGCAAACGTGATGACAGTCCCCACTTGATGTATTCCTTGACTTTTGTCTCCAGCTATGCATTCTCCACATAGCAGCCACGACAATGTTGCACATCACAATCAGTATCATGTGTCCGGACCTCCACACTCTATCAGAGAAAGAAACATCTGCAGGTCTGTGAATGTGGGTCTCTCTCAGATGGTTTCTCCATCTCCTGCTGTGCCACAGTGGCCAGCCTGTCACTGAACAGGCCACACCAATTGTTGACTCTGGGAGCCTTTACAATTGACATTTTCCTTCCAGAAACACTAATCCTGCAGATCTCCACCAAGCTTCCTTGTCTTGGCCATTCAAGTCTTTGTTTTAATGTACATTCACAGAAGATTTCCTATGGCTACCTAGTCAAATGCATCCATTCATCTGTCAGCAAGTATTTACTGAGTGCATAGTAGGAGCCAGGTACCAGATTGGGCACTGGAGATGTGTTAGTAATCTAGTAAGGATAATTAGATATTTGTTAGGGGAGTGGATGAGCTTCCCAAGTACCAATGAATCTTGAGAGTAGAGTACAGAAACCTTTCTTTGCTTTAAGCCAATAAGTATGACATTCCTAAGGTATCATCAAGCATCAAACATTTCTGGAATTGTTTGAATGCTTTAGTCAACACTGTGGCTTCTATCATTTAAGAAATGTTTCCTCATGATGCATACAACTGCATGGTGAAGCTGTGTCAGTCACTTCCAGGTTCTCTCAGGATATTCCGTTGTCTGGATAGTCTTTCACAAGACATACAGGACTCCTACAGAATGCCACTGGGCTGCTGGCACATTCATTAATCAATGATATAAGCCATCTCTTCCAGTTAAGGGAAGGACCTAAATAAAGTGAGGACACACAAGAATCCAGAAGAGTCTCCCAAGCTCACATACTCACCCTGTGGACACCATTTGTCTTCTGCCCATCGATTGCAATTGTAATTATCCCCTGCATTTTCACAAGTAAAACACTTGAAGCTATTTGGAAATGGTGTGGCTTTAAAGAAAAGGGAAATAAGGTCACAAAAGATAGAAATTTTCAAACTCAAAAAATAGCACAGAATTAGCCACTTTATTAGATGAAACAAGACATCCTCTTGGGAGTGCCTGTGTCCCAAAAGCTGGATCTACCCATCTGGCTTGTGCTCATTTCATTTGTTCCCTTCTAGTGAGTACTACAATCTTCCATTGTAGAGAAATGAAAATGTTCCACGAGCTACTTTGAAAGATCCATGGTATGATTCTATCCCATTCTATCTTCTGAAATAAGAGGGGTTGAGGGAACAGGCAAGGATGATAGCAGTATTAGAGATTACATAATCTACATCTGCATACACACATATGAATGAGGTAGACAGAGACAGGTTAGATGGAACATCCTGAATAGTGTTGAAAATGCAAAGTGAAGAACAGCAATAACATACATCTCGTGTAGGGTTAGGATACACCCTGGCTGTGTATCGCCAGCACCAGGAAGTCATTTTAAAAGAGAGGAGAAAGGAAAAGAAAAACATGTTCCCCACACCTCCCCCTTTGGATAACTATTTGACTACTTTTAGTGGCACAACTTTTATGCTCCATTAATTATGCATAACAACAGTGAAGACCCAGGTCCCACTCTCTCCCCAATTTCAAACTTTCTGATGAGTTTTCAAATAGTGTTAACGGCCATTTGAAGGAATGGGTATATCATTTATGAAGAAACTTTCCACAGCTGGTAATCTTCTGGTGGAGAAATCAACAAAGATCACTGAACTTCTGCTAAGCCGTGATTAGAGACAGTGCTCCCAAGAGTCTTGTTTGGCTCTTGCATTATTAAAGTAGAAGCCTTGTAAGCCTGTAGCAGGAAGCCAACCCATGGTAAAGAGATGCCTTCCATTATTACACCCTCATCCTGGCAGTGGCTAACCCAGCCATTCTGCAAAGGTATGGTAGATGGAAGGGGGAAGTCAAGCAGACACAGAATGAGAACCACAACTCCTACTTACGGTCAAGAGGGGGCCTCACGTTGTAGAAGTTAATGTTCTTGGCAAATGCCCAGTTTTCTGAGAAGATCAAGATCTGGAGGATGGTGACGGCTAAAATGTGGCAGAGGAGCAGCATTCTGGTCTCCCGGATGGGGCAGGTCCAATTGGTATGTCTGCCACAAAAGCACAGATTGGGTCAGTTGTTCCTTATACATCAATGGGGGTTGTATTCTGCTTCTGCTTAGAAAGCTCAATTATTCAGCCTGCCGAAAAGGGTCAGTACCACAAGTACCATTCGGTACTTCTACTGGCCTGCTGAATTTCAACAGAACACCCAGTGAACGCCCTGCCCAGGAACACAAACATCTGCCCTGATCTGGCTATACCAGGTTCCTTCTGTGTCTGGGGCTAGCTAGTTGATGCTGTGCTGAATCATGCATTTTTTTCCAATCAAGCCTGGCTCCTGGTTTATTCATCTGGAGTCACTAAACCACTTATTTCTGAAACCCTTTCTCCGAGTAAACAGAGACACTATCAATTTGGCAACTCCATCAAGTCCTGGGAGGAACCATGGAAGTAAAGTCGGTCGGGTAAATACTGAGTAAAGCTCAATAAATCTGAACCCAAATCTGTGCTGATCCCAGAGCTCACAGGTGCCGAGATGAGAAGGAAGCATCACGTGAGGTGCCAGCTCCACCGACACCTGTCACACTGGGTGCAAGGACAAACCACCAGGATGCTCCAGAGGAAACAGTCAATAATGCCCCCGGTCCTCAAACATTACTGACTGTGTTCCTAACTTTGAGCAGATGGGACTGAAGCTCAATGGAATTACAGTTAGGCACACAGCACTGAGTAAAGGACCTGGCATTTCGGGCCCCCATAGAACCCCGCAGGTTCTACCCTGGGAAGCCAGCCTGGGCAAACAGTTAAGTGCGCAGTCTCATCACTGATGGGTTGTCTGGCCAGGGAAAGGTGAGTGGTGGCTGCAGAAGACAACATACAACTTGGAGTCCAAAGGTTCAGGTGCTGGTTCTTCTATTTATTAGCTTCTTGACGTTGGGCGACCTCTTTAAACTCTATTAACCTCAATTTCCCCATCTGTAAAATGGCTTAATAATACCCACACTACCCACACATTTGGATAATTGTGAGCATCAAATACAGGTTCAGATAGGATCACATAGCTTTGAATAAAACACACATAATAAGAGTTCTGTGGAAATGCTGGAGTTCAATAGAATAGGCCAGACTCATTTTCTTCTTGCTGAATTAACTGATCTCAGTGGCTCAGGGAAATTTTCAAAGAAAAATTGGTTTGATATTCATATACACACACACATGGTTCTTTACATTAACTCCTTTTGAATCCACAGTAATAGTGTGTGGATTTCATGAATTTTCTTCTTCTCTTGTAATTTTCACACACAAGTACCACATAAGCAGGGGTACTGAACTGACTATCACATAAAGCCTTCCCTTCCTACAGAGGACCTTTGTGAAAGCAAGACCAAGTCACTAGGTGTGTAGTCAGTGAAAGAAAGCATACTGGTGTGGAATTTCTAAGAATACAATGGGGCTAAGCTTTATAGATTTTGTTTTATTTACATCAGCATATAGACCCAAAAATGTTAAATATATTTTCTAGTTCATTTTAGGAACCAAGATTGAAATTTTAGTAGTCATGCTTCCACATTTCATTCCTGTGGTCTTCCCGAAGACACAGACATTATCAAGTCAACTGGTTATGCGTAAAAACTATGCTGCTTTTCCTACTCACACATCTAAATTGGTCCAACCCAAAGTTACCACGAATCTGTAGCCAAAGGATGGAACCCAATATCCCAAGAGAGACTGCCCCCAAACCTCAGAATGACTGTGCTCAAACAGCTATCCACATTGCTTGTATAATAAGGGCAAGACTCGAAAGAACATGGATTTTGGACTCACATTGTCTGCACTTGGATCCCCTTTCATCACTAAGCTGCTATGGGACCTTAGAAAGGTTGCTGAAGCTTCCCAGTTCCAGCTTCCCTCTGTAAAACAATCATAACAATAGCAGTTTTGAAGTGGGGTTTCCATGACTTCATGCCTATAAGACTGAAGCTGAGCATTAAGCCACAGTTCAATTAAATCTTTCTATTGGCTGGTAAAGAGCATTGGCTCAAATACCTGTTTTTAGACCCAACTCCCGTGATGCTTAGTTCAAACGCATTAACTTCTCTAGAGCACAGTTTTTGTGCCTGTGAAATGGGAGTAGTAATGTTATCTTGTAGAGCTATGGGAATATAAATGGCTAAAGCACATACAATATTTGAATTATTTAGTTAGTTATATACCTGTGTTTTGACTAATTCTTGTAAGCATATTACAGATCAAAATCTCTGGTTTTCCTAAAGTAACTTCCCTTTGAAACCAAAGCTTATTCATTCATTCAACATGACATTATTTACAGCTCCTATGGCTCATTCAGTGTTATTATTGACTTCCCACCAATGCCTTTTCCTCTCACAAAAACCGCACTTTAGAGGGAAAAGGCAACACAAAGGGGGGGCGGCGTAAGTTGAGACAGTAATAAATGCCATGAAGTTAAAGCAATAAGGCAATAACTTGGTAGGAAGGGGGAGCTGTAAAAATATGACAGTCTGTACACACCTCTCTGAGTAAGTGACATATGAGCAGATGATGAATTAAATGAAGAGACGAAACAAGAGCTAAATGAAAAAAGCAATCCCTCTTATGGAGGGAACTGCAGAGAACAGGTTTGGGCAGATGGCTCAGTGGATAAGAGCCCTTTCTGCATAAACATGAGGGTGTGGGTTCAGATCCATATAGAAAGACAGGTACACCACAGATGTAACAGGTCTACCCATGCATGCCTAGAACCCCAGTGCTGTGTAAGTGGAGAAATGATTGATGGTGCTTGCTAGCTGTCGGTCTGGCTCCTGGTCTCCCACTGAACAAGCAATGGAGTAAAGAGTGATAAGAGCAGGATATCTAATTTCCTCCTCTAGCCTCTGCATCTACACACTGGAAAAGCATCCATGCACACACTCCACACACATCTGTACACACACACACACACACACACACACACACACACACAGTGAAAAGGATAGCATCAAGTGTGCCTGTAGCACACAGTGTACTGGTTTGCAGGGATAGACAGTCAGGTAGTGGACAAAACTACTTCTCATAAGCATGTACTGTAAAGATTTGGATCCAGGAAAATGGAGAACTTGAGGGGGAAAAAAAGCCACAAATGTCTTGTGTCTGTAGAGACATTGGTCTCAAATCCCTAGCTTTGTTTGTTGTTCCCAGAATAAAAGGGATGCACGTGATGGCGAAGGCAGTGGAGGACGGAATTCAGAGCCACCAAAGGGTCCTCTGAAGAGTGCACACTACTGAGTGGATACATTGAGATGACTCAGTCAGTAAAGTGCTTGATGAGTGTGATCTCTAGCATCCATGTAAGAAGCCAGGCAAAGCAGTGTGTGTCTATAATTTCAGCACGGGAAGGTGGAAACAAGGAGATCCCTGGAGCTAACTGGTCGGTCATCCTAGCCAATCAGTGACGTCCAGGTTCAATAAAAGACACTATGATAAGTAAGTACAGTAGAAAGTAACCTTGACTTCTGACCTTCATAAGCACAAGCATACCTGTACACATGTTCGTATACCCCCCCCCACACACACAAATCTAAGTGTAAGGCTTGCTTTTTGGATTCTCCATGCTCTAAAACAGAAACTGGGTCATTACCATTGTGCGGCTGGGTAAACTGAGGCTCACAGTCATACTGCCACTGACATAGTAGCCCTGCAAAATTTTTCACATTGTACTGTCTGACTATTACCAAAATGCAAAACAAAGACAGTTTGAGTTCCATGTCTACACAGCCTGTCAAATGAGGAATGAACTAACTAAAAGTGCTTCTAGTTTCTGGACAGGCTTTATAATGTGCTACCGTACACTGTCCCCTGAGCAATACCTAGCTCTATCTTCTTCGATATACAGGTTTGTGCTGCTACGACTGTTTTATTTCTTACAAGCAGAGGATATTAGGGTAATGAACAGGGAAATGGTTAAGTAGAGTGTCCTAGAGTCACTCTACACTGAGAAGCACCGCACAGAACTAAAACACGTCTGGAGAGACTTTGCTGAGCAGACACTCCCCTCTGTCATAGGCAAGGTCACAGGAGAGCTTGTCTTTTGTTCCATGAAGGGTGTGGAATCTACAGTATGTGCTTGAGCAAACCAGGCTATTTAGTCCATGGACATCACTCAGACGACTGTTACTTCATCATGTAGGATGAGGAGTAAGCCGTGAAGGTTCCCAAGGTAATTGGTATCTCTGTGTATCTTCATCTGTCTGGGTGGAGTTGAGAGGGTTCTGAGACACACATAATGGTCAAATATTGCTGTCTACTGCTTTATAACACAGCTGTCAATGATTTGGCTTCCTGTGAGGATGTTTTAGTCTGGCACTGAGACAAAAGTTTCACTGTATACCATGGATGTGTGTCTACAGCCCGCACACTCAATGGAAGCTCAAAATGTCTTTCTCCAACAGATCTTACTGCTTTGGTTTGTGTTTCCCAGAGACAGGCTTGGACAGAGACACCATGTGTGTGGTGCTGGCCTCCCCTGTGCTTTGAGTCCCTTCTCTTGCTCCAGATTGCAAACAGCTTCTTTGCCAGGACAGAGACTTCTTCCAGGCATATTTGGAGAGATACAGGAAGCAACTCTCAGGTCTTCCGGAGAATGGCAGGTAGCCAGATTTTAAGTTAAGGAACCCCCACTCCGGAGACTGGCCCATACCTGCCCAGAATAAAAGACTTGATTCACGGGAGGACATGTGGTTCAGAAGGAGAACAACTTCCCAGGCCCCAGTCCTCCTAATCATGCAGTCGATACTTCCACAGAGCTGGTGGGGACCCCAAGAAGCATCATATCGCTGACATCTTTTGAGGCAGTAAAAGGATCTACATTTTTAAAAATATTCCCCAGATGTATGCCCAGCACACACCACATACTCACTAAATACGTTTCAGGACAGAACCAACATCGATTTATCTATGACCTAGATGGAGCTCCATTCAGGGTGAGTAAAACAAAGTTATGTACAGTAAACAATCTGCAGGGTATCCAAAGCTGCTAAATGACGGACTCCTAAAGTCCGGCAGCGAACACTGCATTTCTTACACGATTCCTAAATATGAGTCAGCTAGCACAAAAGCGCCTTCAGCTGCTAATGAAATGCACGAAGAGGGATAATTGAAGGGAAGCAGCCTTTCATGAAGGAAGCAGTCCAGCCAGCCCATCAAGGCTCAAATTCGCACCTCCCTGCAAGCATGCAGGCGCACTAATGGCAATCTTAATAAGCCTGGCTTCGCTTTAAAAAAAAAAAGTGGAAACTCAGAGTGAGTGCTGACATCTTACTGGGAAAGAATGGAGTAGGTGAAACTCTTCCTGAAAGGGGGAATGTGCCAGAAGAAAATGTCACTGTCCACAGCTAGAGTGGGGTTACCAGTTGCTTCTGGCTGGGAAACTCAGCTGGTGAAGAGAAATGCTCAGGGTCCTGTTCGGTTTTGGAAGCATGCCAGGGGGTGTCCAGTCTACCTGCCTCCTTGCAGAGGAGCTAAAGGTTACCATGCTGAGCCCTCCAGGGCTTGGGAGCCGGTTCCCAGGGCTGTGGTTTCTACCTTTTGGGGGTGGTTTTTCCTCTGTGGGACAGTATTTGTAGAGGTCTTCAGGTTCTCCACATCTTGAGAGGTCATAATTTGAAGTCACATCCTTACAGCAAGATTCTGCTGTGTACTTAGCTTAAGGCAGTAAACAAGAAGGAGCGAACCCTTGAGTTCCCATAAACTACTGGTACATAAAGGCAGTATGAGCCGCTGAGGATATGGCTGACAATATTCCTTGAGGGAAATAAAGAAAAATGCCTTAGCTTCAAAAGACCACAGATTAAAATTCCAGATCTACAGTTACTAATCAGACAACCACAGAGCTATGAAGTATAGTCCCCACTGGCGATAAGGATAGTGGGGCTCCGAGTTGTGCTGGTAACTTAGGTTGTGGTATGACTTCAGACGGACTATTAACATTTAAAATACCCTTTATTTAACCTCAAGAATCTTAAGCACCAAAATTCACCCTCTACTCCCTACCTCCCCTTCCTATACACATCATACCAGACTAAAGATCAGATCAAAAGATATAATTGTGCAAACATTCCATATTAGCTGGGACAAGTGGGATAATGTTGGGGTGTGTGAGCTAATTTCTTAGGATTCAGAAATTCTTCCAACTGTAACCAAGCGGGAGGTGCAAAGCTGTGCATCAACACTCCTTCTCTTCTAATAACATACGATATTGTTATTAGATGGAGGGATATTAATGAAGAATTCCACTTGTGCATAAAGACTCATAATGTAATGCGGTATTTCCATAAGATTCTACATTCTCATTATAACGCTTAATAAAAAATACAAACAGCCGGGCAGTGATGGTGCACACCTTTAATCCCAGCACTCAGGAGGTGGGGCAGATCTCTCTGAGTTTGAGACCAGCATGGTCTATAGAGTGAGTTGCAGGACAGCCAGGGCTACACAGAGAAACCCTGTCTTGAAAAACTAAACAACAACAACAAAAATACAAACAGAAAAATTCTCATTGAACAAAGGATAACCTCATAAGTGACACCTCATTTCCAAGCATAAAGGTGAGCTTTTTGTGATGTAATTCATTATCTGTTGCATGTGTAACCAGGTCAATGATAATGACTAAAACAGTGCTATGTTAAAATACACTAGTGAGCTCTCCAGAGATCTACAAGGATAACACCAACTGGCAAACTAAGCAATAGTGGAGAGACTACATTAAATGCCTCCCCACTTGATGATGGGGTTGATGACTACCCTATATGCCATCCTAGAACCTTCATCCAGAGACTGATGGAAGCAGAGACAGATACTCACAGCTAAACACTGAACTGAACTCCTGGAACCTAGTGACAGAGATTGAGGAGTAATGAGCAAAGGGGTCAAGACCATGATGATGAAACCCACAAAGACAGCTGACCGGATAAGGGGGAGCTCTTGAATCCCAGACTGATGGCTGAGAGGCCAACAGGGGACTGATCCAGACTCCATGAATGTAGTGCCAGGGAGGAGGCCAAAGAAATCACTGGGGCCTTGGGTAGCAGATCAGTGTTTACCATGGTTTATGAATGAGCTTTGGGAGCCCATTCCAAATAGAGGGATGCTCTCTCAGCCTGGACACATGGGGAAGGGCCTAGGTCCTACCCAGGATGAAATGATAGACTTTAGAGATCCTCCCATGGAGGGCCTTACCCTCCCTGGGGAATGATGTGGGGATTGAGTGGGGAGCTAGGGGACTGGTAGAGGGACAAGGCAGGAGGGGTAGGAAAGGGAGGTGGGATTGACATGTGAAGCATTCATGTTTCTAATTTAAATAAAAACATATATTGAGGAAAAATAAAAAGAACCTTCAGAGACAAAAAAGATTTCATTATTCAAATCAATTTAAATCTAATTGTGAGGTAATACAGGGCCAGTAAGAATGAAACTTAGACTTTTCCTAAGTTTTAGGGAAATGCTACAATATGCCTTCAGGGTTGTAGCTTTTCAACTGCAGTTTTGTCAAAGACATGATTTTATGCCCTTTCAGAAGGCTTTCATACTGGAAGAGGACAATGGTTAAAAAACGAGGCACACGGACAAGATTTAAAAGCTTATGGTTAATAATGACAAGGAGGTTTCCTTTAACAGATCCAGAATGACTTGTCAGGTTTCACTTACAGATAAATGGTAGGACGCTCCATTAGTCAGCATTGCCACAGCAACAAGCATCCGAAATAACCAACTTAGAGAGAAACACGTTTACTGTGACTCGAACGAGAGCTTCATCCCTTGGCTTGATGTCTGCAGCATGTGGAGGCAGCACAGTATGGCTAGGGTGCACAGCAGACCTCAACTGCTCACCTCATGGCCAGAAAGAAGAGAGAAAGAAAGAATGAGGGGCTGGGGCCCCACTCTCTCCTCTGAGAGCAACCCCTCCCCCCATGACCTAAAGACCTTCCAATAGGTCCTGTCCTCCTCTTCTTTGTCTTTCTTTGTGTTGTTTTGAGACAGTAACTCTATGTAGATGCAGCTGGCTTCAGACTCATGCCTCTGCCTCTGGAAGTGCTGGGATTAAAGGTGTGTGCCACCACACCCAGTTAGGACCTACCCCTTACAAGTTCTGCTCATCCCAACAGCAGTGGCCTGGGGACCAAGACTTTCACACAGGCCATTGAAGGACAGTTTTGATCTGATCTGTAGCAGAATCTAATGTAAATATGTTGACTGAATTTGAGATTTTCCTTCACACAGGTGGAATAGATAGTTCTTAGCAGTTCACTTCCATAAATGCTTCTTAGGAGGCTTATGTCAAATCATTTACATATTAATGCCTTTTGCATACTGAATAAAAGCCTATGTTGGATGGCAGGATAGAAAAGAGCCCATAAATGGTGATTTCCTTCCATGAACAGTATTCTCTCTCTGTTGTGTTACCATTTGTTCTGTGTTTCTTAGGAGCTGAAGGAGACACAGTAGAACATGTAACTCATCACTCTGTCACAAAAGGCATTTTTTCCCCAATGTTTAAATCAATGTGTCTTGTGACTTACTATGGGAGAGCAAACTGTCTGATGTAGGATCACGCCTAAGATCTGATTTGATGAGCTCCAGATGCAGCTGTCATTTGACCGTTTGTTTTAAAAACAAAAAAGCCAACAGCCTGGTTTGGTGGTCGCTTTTAATCTTACCATTTAGAAGCAGAAACAGGCGAGTCTCTTTAAATTCCAGGCCAGCCTGGTCTACAAAGTGAGTTCAAGGTCAGTCAGGGCTATGTAGTGAGACCCATATATATATATATATATATTTTTATATATATATATATATTTAAAGGCCTAAGGCATAATACTGGAAGGTAATCCTGCTGTCATTCTTTTGTTCTCAGGTAGGCAAATACAAGAGTTTTTCTTCCCTTCTTCATGGAAGAGGCGTGTCTTTTTCAAAAGATCTTATTTATTTTATTTATCAGAGTGGTCTATCAGCATATATATCTTTATTCCAGAAGAGGGTATAGGATCCTACTGTAGATGGTTGTAAGCTACCATGTGGTTGCTAGGAATTGAACTCACATCCTCTGGAAGAGCGGTCAGTGCTCTTAACCACTGAGCCATCTCTCCAGCCTGAAGAAGCATGTCTTTAAACTTGAGGGAAAGACCTAACAGTACAGAAAGAAGTCTTACAGGAGCTGCAGATACACAGGTCGCAGCATGCTGTAACTGAGCACCTTTTGCAGAACTGCACGGATTCAAACGGAACAGAAACATGGGGTGTGCAGGGAACACATGGCCTTTATGGTCCACACCGGTGCTTATTTTATTGAACTCATTTCCTTTAATAACCAATCAAAACTCTCCTAATGGAATCCCAAGCTGAAATGCCTGACAGCTGGCTAAGGATCCATTACTCTCCATTTGTTGAGTAGTGTGTGCTGCCAAGAGCGAGAGTGAGCATTCTCAGCCATTCCCTGTGTTTGCTTTATCTCAGATGACATAGAAATGAGCATAAAAGCAATGTGTTCACACACGTGCATTTCTTATTTTAGTTCTTCTGAACGTACTCCAACATGACAGAATGCATTAAAGGAGAAATCATAGGTAATAAGTTCATTTGAACCCATATTTGTAGATGTATATATGGATACTCAAAAGCATGTGTGTGTGTGCATGTGTGTGCGAATGTATACATGTGTTTTATGAATGACTCGATTGCTTAAGCCAAGCTGTGAAACCAGATCTACAATTCTGTTTAGCAGACTGAATCACCCGTTATCCTAGTTTGCTTTTCTGTGGCTGTGCTAAGCACTATGAGCCCAAACAACTTGGGGAAGAAAGGGATCTTAACATCTTCCACCTCCAGATGACAGTCCATCATTGAGGGAAGCCATGGCAGGCACTCAAACGAGACAGGATCTAGAGGCAGGAACTGAGGAACGCTTCTTACTGGCTTGTTCCTTATGGCTTGCTCAGTCAGTTTTTTAAAATGCCACCCCGTATCACCTACCCAGGGGTGGCACCACTCATAGTGGGACCTCGCATATCAATTTTTAATACAGAAAATGCCCCATAGGCTACAGGCCAACCTGAAGAGCAATTTTTTTGTGTCAGTTGAGGCTCCCTTTCCCTAGATGACTCTGGCTTGTGTCAAGTTGACAAAATATGTAACCAGTGCACTAATAATCTCACAGTTACAGCACCCACAGTTGCCCATGGGGTGAACCCAACTGCTACTACACATTGTCCTGTTTTCTTTACTGTACTGGGGTTTTATGTCACTGGTCATTGTTTATGAAGTCCCAACTAGCTCAATTTTATTCTCAATTCTCCATCTAAAAACAAACTGTGCAAGCAAACAACAAGCCTGCAGATATCATTCTGAAATGGAAGGGCATTTAAAAACCACAATAAACGGCACACTATGGCAAAAGAAGATTATGCTGACGTTTGCATAGTCATAAAACCTAGAACAGATTACTCAAAGAACTCTCTGGAAGCTGACAAGCTTATAAAAAGCAGTCCTAAGGAAAAAATTCTGTATCTTGCATATATAGCGAAGTTACAGTGTGTCACTTACACTATAAATCGCCACTATTACCAATTGGAGCAGAAGGAACTGTGCATATATAAAGATATATATGTGCATAATATTGTATTCCCAGAGGAAACTGAAAAATTACGTGCATTAAATAGCGTTTTAATTGCAACATGAAAAACGATATTCAATAGCTGGTAACGTGGTTCACAGTTCCACAAGGATAAAGTCAAGTGAAGACGCTGCCTGGTATAATGGGGGAAAAATGGCCTTTGGAGGCACCAGGCCTGAGCAGAAATTTTGACTGTCACCCCTATTACCTCTCAATTGTTATGAGACTCAGTTTCTCCATCAGTAAAATAGAAATATCATATATGATTTTTGCAGAGTTCAGAGATTAAAGGAAAATGAAAACTAAAATGTTGTCACCTTGTCAACTTACCAATTACACAGCCCCAAAGAAGCAGAAGCCAGCCAAACCACCTAAAAGGAGCTTAAGCCATCTGAGCTACCTGGAAAGGACACTTTCCAACCAGATGAGCCACCTGAAGACTGTGTAGTGTGCTCCAGATTCCCAGCTTTTGTGAGCTGTCATCCATGCTGGGTCAGGCTTTGGTGATGCAGCTGTCTCTGAGTCATTTCTGTATCTATAAGTAATTCCTCACCATATTCTTGTAAGTAACCACAACAAAACTCATTGGTTTACCAAGTCGGAATTTAATAGTATCTGTACTTGGTTCTGATGTGGGTTCCCTAACTGGGGTGAGTAGACATGTGTATTGCATCTCTCCAGGAAAAGTCTTGACACACATCAAAGACATACGAGTTCTTACAGAATTTGCCTTATGAAGCCATAAGCTCTCTCATATGCATGTCACATATGCATGTCATAAATGCATGTCACAGCTCCCATCCTGCTTGGAAGGTCTAGGTCAAACGTTTCTCATTCATGAAACTTTTATATCTGCTCTAGCCTGTAGCATCATTTCTAGCTAAGAAAATCATGAAGCTTGTTTGTAAGATACAGGCTGACCTTCTGGGGGGGCTTTGGAGATGGCTTAGTGGGTAAATTCTTTGCTGGGCAAGCACAAGGACCCACGTTCAGATCCTCAGCACTTAGGTAAAAGCTGGAGCAGCAGTGGTGTACATCTCTAGCCATGGATTGGTGGAGGTTGCTAGACAATCAGCCTATTCAAATCAGTGAGATCCAGGTTCAATGAGAGACCTTGTCTCAAAAACTACGATGAAGAGAGACTAAGGAAGACATCTGACCACACATGCATTAATCCCCGTGTGTGTGCACCTAAACACACACACACACACACACACACACACACACACACACACACACACACACACACACACAAAACTGTACCACTATTCTTCTTCAGAACTGGGAGGAACAAGTTCCAATCCTTGCTTGGAAATTGACACTTAAAGTCTCTACAAGATTTATAAACATCACAGGCAAGGCACCATCAGTTAAACAGAATTTTCATTTCCATTGTGATAATTTATCTAAGTGAACAGGCTTTCACTCAACCAGCTTCTCATTTGGAGGCTGTGAGATCTCTAGTCTCAGCAACTAAAGCTTATATGGTTCAAGGCACACATTCCCTTAAATACACTGTGGCAACATGATCTCCCCAAGCTGGTCAGTCTCAGTCTATTGAAGAGAGAATTACTTCATTTACTTTTTCTTCAAAACCCATCACCCTCCATCTCTCTCCACCCCATCTGTGCTGGGAAGGCACAGAGTTTTTTTCCCTAATAGCCCAGGCTTGATTTGGTCAACAGAAAGTGCTCACAGATAGCAAAGTAGTTGGAAAGCCTGGCTGGGGATGGACTCCTGAGACTACTTCCCTTGTGCTACTATGTCCATTACAGCCAACCAGGGGGCATGCCATACCTAGAACTTCTTAAACACTGGCAACCATTTCCCCTTATTCTTTAGGCCTGCGTTATGATGCAAATGATTCTTCCCTGCTGCTAACTCTACAGTCTGGTACTATCTGCTGAGGGCTTCCTGGGCCATTGTGAATTGTCCCTGGTTAACTTTCTGAAATAACACCAGTTGATTATGTCATCTGGTTCCTGCCAGAACTCCGACTGAATCTTGAATCCAGTCTCTAAACATCAGGAAGAGACCCGCTCTGGACAACACTGTTCTTTGTTGTAGCAAAGCAATCACAGGAAAAGCTGTAGTGCACAGAAGTCTCGTTACCAGTAATTGTGGAAGAACTGCGTGCATTCTCTCAAGTTATAAGGAGCCAACAACGAGGCAGTGCAGCAAATCAATCAGTAAGGAAATGAAAACACCACCGAGTTCTGTATCAGAAGATAAATGTAGCTGAATATTTTATAACCTCATTCAAATATTACAACCTCAACAAAATGTAGTGATTCCTAACCCGACGATCATGAAGTCTATCATGGAATAAGCAGAGAGGTGAGCAACATCAGACAAAAGACCACAGGAAAATGAACACAGACAGCTATTAACACAGCAGTGAAGCTCAGGAAGCCACGTATGTCCAGAGGTGCTCCCTCTCATTACATTACACATGCACAGATATGTGTATGTACTTCCAGCTCAGTTTGTTTCCATGTGTATATGTGCTTACACATATCTACATGGAAACAAGTCTATCTGAATGCATTGTAATTAACTGAATTGTGTTATGCCCCATAGCTTCCTTCCTAAGATATTCTATTTCATAAAATAACACTGGATTCTCAATTGACATTGGGTTTCTGTCTTAAATTAATAACTTTTCTTCCAGCTGGGTAGTGGTGGTCCACGTCTTAATCCCAGCACTCTGGAAGCAGAGGTGGGAGGATCTCTGTGAGTTCGAGGCCAGCCTGGTCTACAGAGTGAGTTCCAGGAAAGGCTCCAAAGCTACACAGAGAAACCCTGTCTTGAATGAGAGAGAGAGAGAGAGAGAGAGAGAGAGAGAGAGAGAGAGAGAGAGAGAGGGAGGGAGGGAGGGAGGGAGGGAGGGAGGGAGGGAGGGAGGGAGGGAGGGAGGGAGGGAGGGAGGAAGGAAGGAAGGAAGGAAGGAAGGGAAAAGGAAGAAAAGAAAAGACTAAAGAACCTTCTTCCAAAGTGTCTGTTATTGTTTGGATCTTAAATGTCCACCATAGGCCGAGGGAATGAAAGTTCCCAATGTAATAATGTTCAGTGGTTGTACTTTGGAAAGTGACTGATCCCTGGGCCATCCCTTTTCTCTGCTCTGCTCTCTGCTTTTTCACCGTTATGAGGTAAGCAACTCTGGTTACCATGGTGTTCTGCCTCCTTGGTGTAGAGACAACACAACCACTCCACCATGGACTGGAGTCTCTAAAATAAATTAATCCTTCCCCTTTAGGTGGATTCCCCTCGCCCCACGGGTATTTACCACAAGAAGTTGAGCAACACGCTTTCTCAGTCTTCTGATAGCCTCTCACCCTCCACACCCCAAACCTCCCCCAAGAACCCCCAAACTCCTCACCCAGGACAGTGTTCTCAGGAGACTCATTTGCCCAAGTAAAGGGAACTGCTTGACTTCACTTTCCTTGTGAACTTAAACTCACCTTTCTTAATCAAGTCTTCCTCCTCTTCCTCCTTTTCTTCCTCTTCCTTTTCTAGTCCCTGCTTCTCTCATTCAAGGACATCTAACAAAATAAAACAAAAAACACTTAGCTTAAAATGCACATTGAGATCTAATCCATATTCTACACCATAATCAGGAAACTGGTTCTTTCCCTTAGGCTCTAAAGTGGAGCAGTTTCCATTTACCCTTCAGTATTCGGGCTTGAGCAGCAGGATATTATCCCAATCCAAAGGCCTTGAACCCTCAAATTAGCACATTCACTACACAATATGATTCATCCCTAAAAACATTCCCATCTGACACTAATGAACTGTCCACACATGACTGTGAGGTAAGTGTGAATGATGTGGTCATTGCCAGAGTGTGGGGAATTGGAGCTGGGGAGCTCACAGGTTATGCTAAAGTCATTATGGATGCTGGCAGGGGGAATTCTGTTATCATCCAGGAATCTGACTCACCTTCTCTGCCCATTCTAGAATTTACCCCCGTTTTGTCCACTTCTTCCTCACTGAACTTTGTTGAAGGTGCAGGCAGAGTCCAGCAGAGAGGAGCATTTCAATGAAAGACCATGTTCAACTTCACATGTGTTATTTCTACACTAACTCAGCATCAGGTCACTATCCCAGATCATCTCCAGGAAGATTTGTAACTGGATAGCGTTTGTCCTGTCCTGTAGAAACAAGGCTGGGAGTGACATATCTTCACCCAGATCACTCTCGGATATTCAGAGCCTGGTGTGCAGGCAGCCTTGGGGCCCAGTGTCACTGGACACTAATACTGTAAACCACTCAAAGTAGCAACACAGTGGCAGAGCCCTCTTCACACACCTGATCGGGGCCCTGCTCTACAGCACAATCTTGTCTCTAGAAAATAGAACTGGGGTAGGCTATTGCCCAGAGAGAAGCAAGCATCAAGCCCCAAGGCCGTGTCTTCCCCCCCACACCCTCTGGTTGATTCCTCATCACCTTCTACCTGCTCCAAGTTCCAAACCTTTTCTTTATCACTGTTTCCTTCCCTATTCTCTAGAGCAGAGAAACTCTTCCTACTCACGATTCCTTCTGCCTGAGAAACTCTTACGAATTCCCAGGTACATAAAATAGATATACAAATCTAACCCTGACTCAAGACAATTCAGAACAAAATTTTATTGAAAGCAACTCTTTGACATGTATATGATCTTGTCATTTAAGATGAAAGTACCTTTGTATATGAATGAGATGGATAAAGTTGGTTATTTTTTTAAGTATTTATTTATTATGTACACAGTATTGTGTCTGCATGTATCCCTGCAGGCCAGAAGAGGGCACCAGATCTCATTACTGATGGTTGTGAGCCATCACATGGTTGCTGGGAATTGAACTCAAGACCTCTGGAAGAGCAGCCAGTGCTCTTAACCTCTGAGCCATCTCTCTAGTCCCCATAAAGTTGGTTATTTTTCATGACGAATTAAATGTTGGGCTGGTGAGATAGCCTGCTGGCTAAAGGTGCCTGCTGCCAAGACTTATGACCCGAGTTCAATCCCCAGAACATACATGATAGAAGAGAGCAATTTTCTGACCTCTATATAAGTGTCATGCCATGTGCGTGCCTCTCCACACAAAATAAATATCAAAAGAAACTCTTAAAGGGATTAAAAACTTTTAAAGTGAGTAAATTGTGGCTGAATATTTGATTCTGCAGGACACAGAGAGATCCTCTACACTCTCCAGAGCTGACTGATATTGATTTTCTACTAGTCAATGCTGAGATGCCATTTTACATTAATATGCTGTACAAAATACAGAAGTAACATTTATGGCTATTTGAGAAATTGCTGGAAATTCTATTCTCATTCCAAGCCAAAATGCATTTCACAATGTTTTTATGATGCTCACGTCAGGAACACAATTTACAAGTCTTAAAACCAAATGTCCTAACAAACAGAACACAAACACACACTAATATGGTACTTACATGCTGAGAAATGATGGTAGAAAGATATTAAAATTCCTGTTTCCATAATTAAAACATGTTTTTAATAAGATCAGAAAACTGGGTTGACAGTAAAAAAACACTGCAATTCATAGTTTAACACAGTCTCAATATGAACTGATTGTTCCAACAGGCAGTACTTACTGATATCATGTAGGGAGTAGGCATGCAGAGTACAAAGAATGCTTGCTGTATATTCAGAACCAAGGTGCCAGTGAAGCAGCATGGTGCAACACAGATGAGCAACACAGAAATACCTTGGATGAGTTATGTATTTGATCTTCAACTAACCTGAGGTTCTTGTACCTTCAAAAGTCTTCACTCACTCTTGCCAAAGTTTTCAGGACTCAACATACTATTGCCTACTTCTTACACATACAGGTTAAGAAGTTGTTCAGTCATTCCATCCAAACACAAAAGAATATACCTTCTTTTCAGCTCTAAAACTGACCACATACTTGGCAATATAGCAAAGCTCAACAGATATAAAAAAAATGAAATAACCCCATTGTATCTTATTGGACCACTATACTTTAAAGTTAGAATCAACAGAAACACAAATTGAACAATGTGTAATTGTACCATTCCTGGGTCAAGGAAGAAATAAAAAAAAAAGAAATTAAAGATTTCCTAGAATTTAATGAGGATGAAGAGACAACATACCCAAACTTATGGGACACTTTGAAAGCAGTGCTAAGAAGAAAGTTCAAAGCACTGAGTGCTCACATGAAGAAACTGAAGAATAGTCACAAAAGAGAATTAACAGCACAACTGAAAACTCTAGAACAAAAAGAAGCAAGCTCACCCCTGAGGAGTAGACTCCAGGAAATTATCAAATTGGGGGCTGAAATCAATAAAGTAGAAACAAAGAATCAGTGTAACAAAGAGTTGGTCCTTCCAGAAAATCAACAAGATAGACAAACCTTTATCCAAACTAACCAAAAGGCAGAGAGAAAAACATACAAATTAACAGAATTAGGATGAAAAGGGAGATATAACAACGGACACTGAGGAAATCCAGAGAATCAGCAGGTCATACTTTGAAAAACTGTACTCACAAAATTCAAAATTTTAAAGGAAATGGACAATTTTCTGAATAGATATCACTTACCAAATTAAATCAAGAACAGATAAGCAATTTAAATAGACCAATAACCTCTAATGAAACAGAAGCAGTCATCAAAAATCTCTCAACTGAAAAAAATCCCAGGGCCAGATGGTTTCACTACAGAGTTCTGCCAGAAATTCAAAGAAGAGCTAATACCAATACTCCTCAAAGTGTTCCACACAATAGAAGCAAAGGATCATTGCCAAACTCTCTTTAGGAGGCTACAACTACCTTTGTACCCAAGTCACACAAAGACAATGACTAAGAAAGAGAACTACAGACCAATATCCCTAATGAACATTGATGCAAAACTACTCAATAAAACACATCAAATCCAAGAACTCATGAGAAAAATCATCCACCATGATCAAGTAGGCTTCATCCCAGGGATGCAGGAATGGTTCGACATACAAAAATCCACCAAAGTAATCCACCACATAAGCCACATGATCATCTCACTAGATGCTGAAAAAGCCTTTGACAAAACCCAACACCCCTTCATGATAAAGGTCTTGGAGAGATCAGGGATAACAGAAGCATACCTAAACATAATAAAAGCAATATACAGTAAACAAACAGCCAACATCAACTTAAATGGAGAGAAACTCAACATGATTCCTCTACAATCAAGAACAAGACAAGGCTGTCCACTTTCTCCATACCTTTTCAATATTGTACTTGAACTTCTAGCTAGAGCAATAAAACAACAAAAGGAGATCAAGGGGATACAAATTGGAAAGGAAGAAGATAAACGTCCACTATTTGCAGATGATATGATAGTTTACATAAGCCGAAAAACTCTACCAGAGAACTCCTATATCTGATAAACACCTTCAGCAAAGTGGCAGGATACAAGATTAACTGAAGAAAAAAAAAAGACCAAACACAGTAGCCCTACTATATACAGATGATAAACAAATTGAGAAAGAAATAAGAGAAACATCACCCTTTACAATTGCCACAAACAACATAAAGTATCTAGGGGCAATGCTAACCAAACAAGTGAAAGACCTGTATTTCAAGAACTTTGAGTCTTTAAAATAAAGAAATTAAAGAAGATACCAGAAAATGGAAAGATATCCCATGTTCTTGGATCAGTAGGATCAACATATTAAAAATGGCAATCTTGCCAAAAGCAATCTGCAGATTGAATACAATCCCCATCAAAATACCAGCACAATTCTTCACAGACCTTGAAAGAACAATAATCAACTTTATATAGAAAAACAAAAGACCCAGGATACCCAAAAACAACCCTGTATAACAAAGGAACTTCTGGAGGCATTATTATCCCTGACTTCAAGCTCTATTATAGAGCTATATTCCTGAAAACAGCTTGGTATTACCAAAAATAAACAGGTCAAACAATGGAATTGAATTTAAAACCCTGATATTAACCAACATACCTACGAACACCTGGTTTTTGACAAAGAAGCTAAAATTATACAATGGAAAAAAAGAAAGCATCTTCAACAAATGGTGATGGCATAACTATATGCTGGCATCCATATCTATCACCATGCACAAAACTTAAGTCCAAATGGATCAAAGACCTTGACATAAATACAGCTACAATGAACCTGTTAGAAGAGAAAAAGGGAGGTACCCTTGAACGAATTGGTACAGGAGACCACTTCCTGAACATACCACCAATAGCAAAGACACTGAGATTGGCAATTAATAAATTGGACCCCCTAAAACTGAGAAGCTTCTGTAAGGCAAAGGATACAGTCAACAAGACAAAAAGGCAACACACAGAATGGGAAAAGATATTCACCAATCCCACATCTGACAGAGGGCTGATTTGCAAAATATACAAAGAACTCAAGAAGCTAGTCACCAAAACACCAAATAATCCAATTAAAAAGTGGGGTACAGAACTAAATAGAGAATTCTCAATAGGGGAATCTAAAATGGCTGAAAGACACTTAAGAAAGTGCTCAACATTCTCAGCCATCAGGGAAATGCAAATTAAAAACACT